GCCCTTATTTAATATTGTATAGGCTACGGTTAATATATTTATTCCATTCTGCTAAAAGTCTATTGATAAACTCCTACACTGTGCCCATTAACAATGCTTACATTGAAACGAATTTAAAGATTTTTAATCACTTATTCTTTTCTATTTACATTTGGTTCAGAGAAGATAGCTAACATCACAAAAATGAAAATTATTTATTTCAACTTGATTTTTTGAGAAGGCGACCAGGGATAACTTAAATAGCTTTCAACAAGCAAATACATATTAAAAATATCTGCATGTTTAAGTATAAGCCATGAAATTTCATTTCTTTTCAAGTACCCAAACTAATTGGAAACATGCAAGATAATGAAGTTGTTAAAATATATTCACAATAAGTTAAATATCAATTTAAGCTACATTAGCATTAACAGTATCTTGTAGCATATAATAACTGCACTCTACAGAGGATATGAATTTCTTGCGTTTTATGCAACGTTTCCTCATTTGAAATGCGATAGTTAACCTATTCCAATCACATTCAGAACTGATGTGTAAAGAACTCAATTGAATTTTTTACTTTTTTAATAAATAAATCTTATGCAATAACATCGAGTTAGTGAAAAAAAATACAAATAGAAATAAAAGACACCAAAAATTTGCCTTTATCACTCTCATGCAGATACTTTAAGGAAAATTAAATCCAAAAATTCCGATTAATTCAATCCATTCTTATTTTCAAATAAGAAGATACAAATCATAAATTAGATGAACAATGATCATATTGGGTTTTATTTTACGTATTTTGACGTATGTTTAAAGTTATTGTAGAGGAGAAATTTATAAATGGAATGATAAAGACTTTAGGTGCTTATTTAACTCAGGTTACCAGATTTTATTAATGCTCTGCAGTAGGAATTGAACAGTTTTCAAGAATAAAATAAAAGCTCAATCCTTATGTTTGACTACTGTTACTTACAGGCTGGCAGAAATTTGAATTTAAGTTTATAGCACTGCCCCTTGGCATTGTTTTTGACCCCACTTTAAAGAAAAAATCTATTTATAATCAACCCACATGTGTAAATATCTCAATAATGGAGAGATTTTAACTTAACCTCATGAGGTCTAAAAGCGCATGAGAAGCGTATACTAAGTAAAGACAATGTTATATAATGAAAACCTGTTAAAGATATATTTAACAGATAAGAAAAATTATCAATTTTTTTATTAATAGACCCATAGAAGCCTTAACTCACTGCAAAACGTTCCAACCACTATCTTTCAAATTTTAGGTAGAAAAAATATAAGTCGTTTCTGATCTCAGCTCTTTGGTTGGGCGATATGCTCAATTATTCAGTTATCGGCCTCTGTAATCAGATATTACTTAAATTATGCAGAAACACCTCGATACACTGCCAAAATTAACGAATAAGAAACCGTGCTGCAGAAAATATATTCCAAACAGACCGCATTAATTAGAGTGAGTCATCATAGGGTACATATTTAATGAGATCCTACCAAAAGAAGAATTTGTAGTATTATCAAATTAAATATTATTATTAGAAGAGTAATGATATTAAAAATTGCGTGATATCTTGATGACAGCTTTTGCTTGGTGTAAGGCATTTGACATCTCAAGGGTAGTAGAATAGAAGTTGAATCAATATCTGACTGAATCCTAAACTGATTAAGATGGTTTTTGGGTTATTTCGTGTATAAAAACGCTTAAATTAACCTGATCCTAATATGTGCAGTCAAGTTCGAACTTTTAGGGTTATTTAGGGAGAGAGAGGAGGTAGAAGGTTTGAAATATCTCCTAAGGTGAAATCGCCCCCAAAAAGACATAAAAGTGAAAACATGCGCAAATGTGTGACAGATTGATTAAATTTATGGGCAGCTTAAGGTCGACATGAGGTTATCCCATGGGCTGAAATTGATACCAAAATTTTACCTGAAATCGACTCGAATTCAGCCAAATCGCTCAAGTCGCAGTATGACTGCACCATTGTAAATACGTCAATTACTTTCATAATAGAATGTAGAATATTCACGAATATGATACAAATTACAGTGCTATCTCTGTTGGTGTTTTGAATGAAGGCGTGTTGGTTCAAAGGCTAGCTTGGTTTGCTGCACTGACTGAATATACACTGCCCTTATACATTAACTGACGTACAGATCAAGTCAACACTTTTGCACGCTCAAAATGTCAGATCTTAGTCAATTATGAATACTGATCGCGAATTTCTCTATACTGAAGGTAGAAAGTTTCTAATAATCAAGAAAAGTTATGTTTTTTCAACGTAGTTAATCATTTTGAGTGAACTAGTGGGTACAACGAATTACTACATTAAAAATTAGGAGAATAAGAAAAAATTGGCATTGTTCATTATATGTGCAGATTCTTTACTTCTTGGGTAAGCATGGAAACTTCCAGTTTGGGGAAATTAGATCATGCAGTCCCAAATTCCATTTATAAAATTCAATTCGCAAAAAACCTATTAGATTTCTCTTTGTTATTGGGTACAATAAGAAATTATAATTACAATCTCTAATTTCTTGTTAAAGTTTCAATATCGACTATCGTAAACTCGAGTATTCAAGCTACTCGAAGTGGTTTCATACACTCAAAATTACCCTTTAGTCAAATTAACATTATACAATAAAATATGGCAAATAATCGTCCAGTAGTTACATACTTAAACGAGATCGAATCCCAATCATAACGTTGCAAATGAAAAGTTATGTACCTTGTAATAGACTTATTGAAATGTCATTCAGACATCGATTAATAACGGTCGGTTTAAACACCGTATTTTGAAATAAAAATTAGTACTCACCTCTTTTTTCGATAGTTTACTGTATGTATCAAGGTTGAATTGCCCTGAATTGGACAAAGCATACATTAAGCCTCCAAGAAGAGTTGCAAAAATGACGTAGAAACTGACGACGAGTAACATAATAGTGGTAGACTTGAATTTAGGTGACGAAGTTTCACCCCCAATGCTATCAAGTTCAGTTTTCCATCTTTCTGAATTGCGTGAAATTTGGGTTATTGGAAGTCCTGGCGATCTAGCACTATTTCCATTAGCCCTCCGCAATAAACTTTTCATGGATCGTGTATTTTTACTGCCTTCCATTGATTCACCATTCCTTTGTATTCCACGAATCATCTTCTTGGTTTGGGCTTGTTGAATCTTTGCCATCTCATGAATGACTAGACAATTGAAAGCCAAGATCAAAAGTGGTACCACAAGAGAAAATATTATTTCAAGAGCCGAGGTGAAATAAAGAATTACAACGTCACTTCTAGCTTTACACCCCGAGTCGTCATTTGTCATCAAGTAAGCAAAGGGAAGGCATATCACCAAAGTGATTAGAATTATTCCAATGCATATGCGAAGAGCTCGTTTCACGGAACATATTCGCGATACCAAGAATGGCTGACATATAGCCAACCACCTCTCCAAGGTAAACGCTAAGACGAATATAGGAGATGCGTACTGAAAGGTGTTGCTTATTGTTGTCTCCGCTTCACAAGAGCCAGTAGTTCGTTGAAGAGGTACTTGCCATAAAATTGATAAATCTCTTAATAAAACTATCACCAACACCACAATGTCGTTGAGTGAAAGGGCAGCAAGATAAACGGCGGCTGAGTTACCGTGGTACATCCGTTTGTTAGACCACACCAAGAATGAAATTATGTTTCCAGGAAATCCGATAATCAGTAAGACTATTGTGAAGTATTTGTCAAACAAATAATAGTAAGGAAAGTAGTAATTGCAAAAACTAGGTAGGTCTCCAAAGCTATCTTCAATAGATTTATCCGGATCAAATACAACTTCGTTGCTATATCCGCCATGAATATTTACCAGCAAAAGAATTGTCAGCAAGAAAACGATAAGTGAATTTTGACCTTTGAAATGGAAAGCCATATTAACATCAGGAACTCAGAATGTAAGAGAAAAATAGCAACTTTATGGTCTAAGATATTTAGATTTGTTATTTAAATATTGCCAAAAGCGTAAGATCTAATTGGTTCAGAGGAGATTTGTGTGATTGGTAAATTTGTTTGACTAGTTATTTGCACATAGCAGTGATTGGCTCAACTGTGAAGGATACACGCCAATGATTGTGCAGTGTTAAGGAACGAGATTCTTATCACAAAATTGTTGAGGTCACAAAGGGTTGTGGGCTTTTAATTTTCTTACATAGTACTTAAAATATATATTTCCTCTGATTGATTTTGTTCTGTTTACCGTCAGGTGTTCATTTTGAAATTTCACTTGAAAATGTCAGCCTGATAAATTGAGTAGGGTTTAGGTAGGTCGTGGTAGTTAGAAGCCAGAAGTCATTTGCCGGTTAATAGACTTTTTTGCCGTATGAGTATACGTTGCCCAGGGTGCACCACGTGGAGGTAAGTCTATCGCACACCCCTGAGTAAGAAATAAAGGGTGCCATAAGAGATTATGCTTCCAATATAATAATGTACGGACCTGGGAAAGGTCAGGCACTAAGGGCTTTACGATATCTCCCATCATCGATCTGAAAGGTTGACGTGGTCGTCAACTTGAACGCCTAACCAGGTAGATAACATTGTAATTACCAGATCTCTGTTTTCAGTGTTATTAAACTATGTAAATGATAGATAAACTATTAGCATTCAATTATGAAACCCCACAACAATGGCAATTCTGGTAATTAATAGACGATTCCACAAGTACACTCTACTTACGAGTTCCTTATATGAGAAGGAGAAATCAATGAAATTTCCGTTAAGCACTCATTTTAGAACTCAGATATGAAATTCAAATGAAAAATCTTTTGACGCTCACTTTATGATCCCCCTTTCGCTATTCCTGATTGAATTTCACTTTCCGGGATCACAAACGTAAAATTTTCCCTCTTGCTGAGTTATAGAATATAACAATTATATTAAGTGTATTCAGAAAAATCAATATGGAATAATTTAGATTCATAAAAGAGGGTTTTATTAACTTGAACAATTATTCAGAAGTGACTTGCGTTGGTTGTCCAAAAAGCTGCCCTTCTTATATTTTAGTTAAGATTGATGTGAAAGTCCTAGTTACCAATGAAATTGTGGATGTTACTTATGTTATAACTAAAACTGATAGCAAATAATAGTGCAAAATAAAAATATACCCTTATATCACGAATAAACTGAAACTAGATATTAAAATTTGGCATTTTAATCTATCATACTATGTTAATTATCAATATGAGCATTTGAATATTTAAAAAATCTACTCATTGCTCTATAAATAATACCTATTTGAGCATCACATATCAGTTTCATGAGTCTTCTTACGAAGGACTTAAAGGCCCTCTGATGGTATTCGAATTCATCAATTATATTTTAACTTATTTTAATTTTGTGTGCTAGACACTGAAGGAGGTCAAAGTGAGAACACGTTAAATCCTGTGTAGGGACATACATAGTAATCTAGCACGCAAGAATTCGCGCTGTCCAGAAATCAGATCGGCCCAAGTTACAGCCTTAGCCACTACAATTTATCGATTGGCAATTGCTATGCGTAGACAATAATTTAGGCATAATTAACTTGCAAAGGCAAATGAAATTAAAACCTGATGGCGTTTCATAAAACCTGTATCTAATGAACTGTATCGTTATCGTAAATAAAGATTTTCAAATTGAACACAATCAAGTAAAAGGATATGGACAGATTTTTATTAATTAATATAACTATTGTATTAGAAAAAACTAAAAAAGTGAATAAATTGATTCTTTTTCCCTGCTACAATGCAATCACTTTACATTGCTCAACTTTCAATTTTCATAGAGAGATAAGATATTTAATCTCATTTCATTATCTTGGTATTTCTGCAATCGACAATTCTTCCCTTCCCACGTCAGGAGATAGATGGACCAGCGTCCTATTGAGTTTTCTTTTACAGGGGTTGGTAAACTTATTCATAACTTTGCATATATCGCAGTTTTCTAAAATTTAACAACACCAAAATTAATTAGATTTTCCAATTAATGGAATTATAATCTCAACGAAAATGAATATTCCAATGCAATTATAGAATATGCAACATTTTAGTGAAGACATTTCATCTATATATATTATTAATTTCTCTAATTTTTTGCATCTTAATGTCAATAATCAAAATGTTTAGACAGAAATAATTGATTTAAAAGGGATTTTCCAACGTATATCTTAGAATATCGCTGTTAGCATAAATAGCCCTTTCGAAACATATACAGTTCAAAACCAGAGGAGAAGAGGAGAGTGAAGCGAACAAGCATAACATGCATCTAATGGCATGGAATTTTCATGTCCTCTTTTGTGGTGAAACAGTGGTGAAAGTATTTATTCCAAAAGCCAGGTGCCACAGGTTCACCTCAGGGGGGATCTTCGATGTGCGTTGGAAAACGATCTCCTAAGGAGATTGGGAAATTCTATAAAATATTAAAGCTACAAAAATATAAATGAGTTTACAATAAATCATATAACATCATAAGGTTTTGGAGGGAACAAATTAAAATTGAGTGGAAAGTGGTACGCATTTGTAGAATGTCACAAATTCACCGATGTTGACATTTGTGTGAGTAAGCATATTAAATAATTTAAATCCTTTATGTCAACTAGAAGTTTAATGTGTTTTATCAGTTAAATAAAATTTTTACTCTTATATCTGAAAACTATCACCGTAATGTAAAATCTGGCTCATAAAATATACATATATATATATATATATATATATATATATATATATATATATATATANCTTCGATGTGCAGCAGGCGTTCAAGGTTGTGGTTGCACCTTAAAACTAATCAGCGGATTTTTGTGTCTGAGAAATCATGCAAATGACCCAGTTATGACGATAATGTTCTACTAATCCCCCCCCCCCCTATCCATAGTAAGTATAAATCAAACTGTGATACAATCCAAATTCAAGGAGGAGAGAATCTTAGCTCAAGTCAATATATAGTATTAATAGCTATAAAGTGGGGTGTGCAATAGACTTACCTCCACAATATAATTATATGATTGCTTCATTATTATTGTTTTAACTCCGTTTAATAGGTAGGAAATAGATATGTCTTCTAAAGTAAAAATCGTGGATCGGAACCCGTTTGAGATTACTTTAAAGGTGGACTAAATGTTTACAAATATCTAAAACTTGTTATTTCAAATGGCAGGCGTTTTGACAGATATCATTAGCCCTTTAGCTGACTTCGGACTTCACAAAAGAAAAGAAGGGAGATTCACAGATGTAGAGAGACAGAGGGACACAAAGGCAGAGAAAGGATAAGTTAAGTATTGTGGAAGTGGTGGAATATGACATACAGTCGGGTCATGGTAGTTTAAAGTCAGAAGTCAACTACCGGTTAATAGATTTTTTGCCGTATAGGTATACATTGCCCAGGGTGCACCTCATGGAGATAAATCTATTGAATAACCCATATTTCAAACTAAAATGGCAGAAATTCTTAGCTCTAAGTGTTTTCACTCTTCGTTTAAGTTATTTGGGATTTAATTATCGATTTTAATCAGACTGTGACTCACCCATCGATCCCTTTTGTTTTACTACTAACCACCTTTTTAGTCTTCCTCTTGTCAAATTGGGGCATCCTAACAGTCCTTTCATTTTAAAAATAATCTGCCACTGGTATAACTCCCTTGCAAACTGTCACGAGCTCTGAGTGAAGACACACTGTAAGGTGGATGTCCAGAGTGAGGGTAACTCAAGTCAGTTTGTGGACGATATTCATTTAACTACTTTCAAGGTAGATCTTTAACCGAAAACGTGATTTTCTTGGAGTAATTATTATTGTTATTTCAAATGGCAGGCTTTGTGATATTTGTAATTCTTTCATCAGTTCNTGTCTGAGAAATCATGCAAATGACCCAGTTATGGCGATAATGTTCTATAAATCCCCCCCCCCCTATCCATAGTAAGTATAAATCAAACTGTGATACAATCCAAATTCAAGGAGGATAGAATCTTAGCTCAAGTCAATATATATATCTCCTTTTATTAATCATTTTTAACATTTAATTATTTAAGTATATTCTAAATTTTCCACTATTAAGTGGAAGGTGAATTTAACTGTATAGAATCAATAGCTATAATGTGGGGTGTGCGATAGACTTACCTCCACGTGGTGCACCCTGGGCAACGTATACTCATACGGCAAAAAGTCTATTAACCGACATTTGACTTCTGACTTCAAACTACTTCTATGAATAGCTCTTCTGTTCCCCACCCTTCGACTTTCTACCACTTTGATGAACCTACCCTCTGTGAAGCCCGAAGTCAGCTACATGGCTAATGATAACTTTCAAAACGCCTGCCATTTGAAATAAATAAATAGCTATAAAGTTATTTTAAGAAGCCACCTTTTCACTATTATTTAACCCATTTTTTTCTTAAAAATTCAAATCCTACGATTTATGAATGTTTTTCCTATATTAATGGCCTCTAATATAACCGACCTCATAAATTTAATTTTTTAAATTTGAATTGCGAAATCTATTTTTTAGGTAATAACCTGAAAATCTAATAGGATTAAGAATGGAATTTTGGATAACAGTAAAAATATATAAAAGCAACGTCATAAGGTTTGCGGAGTAAATTATTTATGAGATGTGTTGAAAACAAAATAACAATTCAATCG